TGCACAAAAAATAAAATAACATTCATGTATAAAAAAATTTTCTTGCACAAAATTTTTGTGCCGAATTTTCAACACTGCTTAAGAGTTGCAATATACCGGTAAAAAATTTTTAAGCAAAGCGTATTTTATTTACAAAATTTAGCAAAATAAAACGACATTCGATTTAATATCGAACGATAAAAAAAATATCGAATTAAAAAAAAAAAAAAACAAAAACCTCGAAATTTTGAAAATTAAACTTTTAAAAATCTTACGTTTTTTCAGGTTGGGAGATTATGGCGCACAATGTATTTCGTATTGTATTATTGCACCATTCTTTATAGATATTGTCCGAATGAAGAAATACATAGTAAAATTAAAGAAAAATTATTGAACACGTGAATAAATACGTGTTGACCTTCATTTACTTTGTGGTTCAGTAATTAGAACCATGCAATTTTCATATAATTTGAATCTTCTCAATGAGACGAATCGAATGGCACTAATTTGATTCAGAGTGCTGTTTAACGGGAAAAACCTAAGTGCAGTAAAACCTAAGTGCCACCCGAGCCAGAATACCCTTATATCAAATATATCAGTATAGTGCTACTTCATTTAGCCGATATCACAGAGTTACGTAGGTTGTGTGACGTCAGCTAAATAACTGATAAGCTGTCAGTGAAATGATTGTCGGAGGATCCTATCATATCTGATATGAGCATCGCCAAATAAAATGAAAATTTTTATATGTTTCATACTGTATCTGCGAAAGGTTAGTTAATTTTCCTAATGACGCTATTTAATTAATATGAATGAGGCTGCAGAGTGAAATTTGTAAGTGTAAACTTTGATAATACAATTTATATAACGCTTGTATGCGATCAAGGTGATAAAAGAAGTGCGTCATATACTATAAAAATATCAAAGTGACACATGCCATCGAAGCGATGGGAAAATTGATAAAAATTGATCGTACAACTTAAATTTTAATTGATACTTGAGAAGATTGTGGATTGATTAATGTTTATAATTGATGCAAGTAATTTTGGTGACTATCTACGTATATACTTACAAATAACTTCCATTTGCTAATGTAATATTTACTAAGAATACTTTTTTCTTTACATTTTACTGCATATTTTTTCAATGGTTTAAAATTACGCCAGTGATGTTCATTAAATTTAAGACTACTATTAGAGTAAGATTTAAAGTTCAGGATTAAAGTTATGATGGGATTTTTGGGGGATGTTGAGCATTTTTGTTTAGAACATCAAGTATTAATTGGTTAACTAGTTTTTGAAATATAACAACTTTCTCTTATTTTCTTATTTATTATATAATTTATGCATGCATTATGATTATTATCGTTATCTAAAAGCACAATTAATGACAATTAATGCCTAATCGTTCAACGGACGTTAGACAGCCAGAATTTGAACACGATAATTAAGCGTGAATATACAGTAAAGTAGTGGTAGTACAATATTATAAAACAAAAGATTGTTAAACCTTACCTTGGCACAAAAAGTGAACAGTGTTGATTCGCCATAACCCTAAACATCGAAATGAGTTCATTGAAAAAATTTTTAATTAATAGCAGATAAATCTTGTCAAACGTATGTACGTACTATCTAAACTTTTCAAGTATCTGTCCGAATCCATACTACTGTACAGTACTACTTTATCGAATACTATCAATAATGCTATTAATCTTTTATTTTTCGCACTTATGTACATAAACTTTATGAATTTTACTATAAAGATAAGAACTCTATTTTGATCTAAGTTACACATATAAGTCACCGGATGGATCAAATATATATCTAATACAGTATAGTAATATTTATATCTATATCAAACATTCTAAATATTGAAATTCCATAAATTGAATTTCTATTTTAGCAATATATTGTTGTACTCTACGTATCATATTTTTATTTGAAAAAATTTTTTTCTTTTTCTATAACGATAAACCTAAATTTACATATAAATATCAATATATATGCGTGCCAAGTTCTAAAAATAAATATACATATATAATTTCAATATTTCATTAATTCATTCATTAGCGTTAGAAAAGTTCCAAGTTTTAAACAATGTTTGATGAGTTATAGATATCTGTCGGTTAACGTGGAGCAGCATCCTCAAAAATTTTATCTACTTAGAAGGTATTATAATACGCATAGTGTTAGATATACATCTTTTTTTATTATCTATTTGAATATAATTGTCACTTTTTAAAAACAATATAAAGTTGTTTACACTTCACATGTGCATGCAAATAATATTTTAGGTATTTTAAGCCGACGATTTTAACTTACTTACTTTCTTATTTAATTCATGGGAATTCGTTCTTGTAATATTCTTCGCTAGACTATATATATATAATTTGACAAAACAAAAGATATATAATGCATAAAGTATCAATAAAGCGGACGACTATTTTTGTGGTTTTTTTGATTATAATTGCATTATGTAAAAGAGTCGTAGTTGCGAATGAAATACTTATAGAAAGAAGTAGGTTTAATAAGTTTTTTTTTTGAAATTATTTGTTATTAGATCATTAAAATCTAAGTTATATGTATACATGCTATTTTATACAGACCCACAGGCACCTCCTCAACCACAAGCTTCACAGGCACCAACGCCATCGACACCTGCACCAGCTTCAAACTCCACTCAAATTCCAGCGCCAAGCTCCACCCAAAATCCAGCATCAAACTCAACTCCAGCACAAATTCCAGCGATTGCTTCAAAACCAACATTTATTTTTACAAATCAACCTCCGTTGTTAGGAAAAATAGGATTCAATGTTACTTTTACTTGGAAATATGATAATGGCCAATTCGATTTTCTAACACAATCTTTAGTAGCAGTGGCTATATATAATTACAGTACAAATAAAAACTGGACAATTGATCCAAACATGTCAACAACTGCTACTAGTGTAACATGGGACACTTCAACAATCGTTAATCCTTCTTTAATCGAAGGTCCATATTTGTTTTCAATTTATAATGGATCAGAATATTTTAAAGGAGGACCTGTTGCACCCTTCGCTCAACTTCCCTTCAAAATGTATCAACCTGGTCAATGTAAGAATTTTTATATTATAATTTTGTTTATTTATTTTTTTGTCGTGTTCACGTTCGTGTTCATGTTCACGTCCACGTTCATTTTCGTGTTCGTGTTCACGTTCGAAATTTATTAATGAAATAATAATAATAATCAATTTATTTTATTTTATTTTTTCTAGCGCCACCTTATCTAGGACCTTCATTAGGATCCTCGATAAATATTCCAACTTTAATAACATCTGGAATTTCATTTTTAACAGTATTATTTACTTACATTCAATATAACGGTCAGTTAATGTAAGCTTGATTTTTGCTATAATAGTTTAATTTGGTTATTAAATGGAAATACTATCAGTATTAAAAATTTAGAACTTTTGCATAATATTGTCTAATATTCCAATATTTCAAAAAATTATTGATAATTATTGGTTAATAGTCATTACAATATACGTAAAATTTAATTGGAAATTTTTATTAGTACAGGTGACCCTCGTTAATATCAACCCATTTGAACCTGTTCAAAATTATGTTGATAGTGATATTAACGAAAATTCATATTAAAGTTGATATATACGAGGGAATTTTGATATATAAAAATTTGTAAAAACTTGATTTGTGGCTTAGGTTGATATTAACGTAGGTTGATATTATCGGGGGTCACCTGTAATAGGTAAAGGAAAAAAATTTTTTTTTTTTGTACTAATAAAATCAAAATGGTTTAAATGGTTTTAAATATAAGAATTTTTGTCTAATTTATTTAAATAACATTTAAATTATGTTTCTACAATAAATATATATTGACTATTAATAAATTTATAACGAATATTTATATCAAATATTTTTCATATGAATCTTCAAAATCGCTAATTCTTAATTACGTCTCAAATATCTTAACAGTTAATTAAATTCACCCGACAATCGACGTTGGTACGCAAATCCAACTTTATCTTCTACTTTTATGATTTTATAAAATATCCCTTTTAAAGTACCCTCAACTCCAAAACCAAATCCAGGTGATGAACCACTTCGGATATCATCGTCTATATAATAAAAAAAAAAAAAACTTGAGTTAACTAGAGATACCTTGAGTTAACTTGAGTTAACTTAACTTGAGTTAACTTGAGTTATATTACGATCTAATTTTATATAAACTCAATTCATGTTCATTAACGAAAAAAAAAACACTAACCAGAAAGACGATCCAAAGAATCCATTAATTCTAATAAAGATTCTTTTGGAATAGTTAAATAAATAAATTCGATTTCATTACAAATTAAAACCTTTGAATTTGAATTAGGAGAATCCAAAGTTTCGTCATTATTTCTATTACTATTTATTATATTGATTGGATAAGATACGCTTCCTGGAGTTTGTGGCATATCTTCCTGATCAGATAAAGAATAATGAGATATATTATCATCATTATAATCTTGTCTATTACCAATGTAATCATTATACTCCAAATAAATATCATCATTTCTATTCCCATTAAAATCCAAATAAATATCATCATTTCTATTCGCTTCTATATTTCTATCTATATTTTCATCATCTATATTATCATTTATACCATTTATAAATTTTAAATTTTTCGAAACATTTTCATCTAATTCTTTTTCATTAATACCAGAATTTTCAGAATCATAAGTTAATTCACCACAAGAATGAGTATGAATATTTGGTAATTGATAAATATCTTCAGTTGATTTATCAATATACGGAGGAAATAATCTGTAACCTAACATCATTCCTTTATCAAACTTTGCTTCTTTAATAATTTTATAATCTTCTTGAGGTTTTAAAATTATAGGAATATAACCTTTTGTTTTCCATCCTGAAGGAGATTTTAAATCTTTTTTCATTAAAAAATCTATATGAATTGTACAATTAGTTTCTCCCGTATTTGTTAATGAAGATAAATTAATTGTTGTATCTGATGTAATAGTAGTAGTAGTTATAGTAGTAGAAGTAGTAGTAGTAGTAGTAGTAGTAGTAGTAGTTAAATTAGAATTTGAAAAAAATAATGAATCATCGGGTAAATCTTGTTCGGAAGCTGGTGGTGTTGGAATATCGATTATTTGATGAAATGTAAATGTACTAATATTTGAAAATGATTCTAATTTTAACGTAAAGTAAAGTGATTTTTGAGAGAATTCCATTCGAATCTAATTGTTTGACGTTGACGAGTATTTTAAAAAATAAATAACGATAAATAAATTAAATAACTATATATATACTGTATATAAATATATATATGTATAATATCTATTACATATTATATATATTATACGTATGTATAGACGTATCAGTCACATGCAAATTATTTTTTTTTCTCACCTCCAGCTTTATATCAGAATTAAATCGATGTGAAAGATCATCATTTATTGCCACAGGGATGAGTTCAAGCCATCGTTTACAAGTTCTTCTAATTTTCCATAAATATTTATAACTATTAAAAAAGATGACATTAGCGTTAGCATTAATATGTTGAAAGTACCAGAAATGAATTCATTGAGTACATTATTTATATAAAAATATAAATTATTATTTACTTATTTTGATTGCGTATACTCTTAAATACTTTTAATAATAATTCGTTTGGTAAATTTGAAATCATCATTTTTTTTTTTTTTTAACGTTAAATATTAATTAAATAATTCTAATTTTTTTTTTGAAAATAATTCTGCCACTTTAGAAAAATTATTTATATGAATTTTTTTTTTTTTTTTTTTAAAGTTCTATAGAAATTGAAAATAAAAAAAATTCAAAAAGGGGAATTATGATAATAAATATTATATTCGTTAAAATGGTAAAATCAAATGGATTTATAATTTTACGTTTACACGAACCTTGATAAGAAACAATTACACAGACCTCATGATTTGCATCGAGTTTAATATCATATATATAATATCATATGACTAAAAAAAAATTGCCCGGGAATACAAAGACTAAGTTAATCATACGCATGTACAGTACCTATGCACTTAGGTTTATGTACAAAGACTTAAAAAACAGATCATCCAATATTAATAAAAAATTTCTTACCCAATAATTATGTTTAAAAAATTGAACCAGTTCTTGTAATTCTTGTAGAAATTGTAATATATTACAGTATTAAAGGGAAGAATTTTTCGGACACCAATGACATTTTTTCATAAGTCGATAACTGAAAAATTTCAATAACAAAGTAAATAAGCACATGTTTTATTGTGTGGCCTTCTGCACCATAAATATAGTTAACACTCAAGATATATGCTGACTTTGTACAGTAAAGTATATACGTACATACGTACGTATATACTGTAGAATGGCAATGCTCGCGAAGCCAATGCATAAATGTTTATGGTAGATCATTACTTTGCATAAGAAATTCAGAAAGGCGGGCACCATGTGGTAATTCTTGCACAACATTATAACGAGCCTGTGAAATCTTGTAAAAACAATGACAAAATTTTTGTAGCATTTAATTTATGCATATGTCTTCTACAAATAATCTTACTTGTAGTATGTATATAGTAAATATTTTCTACATTTACGTACGTACGTACTCTATAAAATCTGTCTAAAAATCCTCCAATTGGATTCCTTCTTCATTGTAAATAAAGTGAAATAAAATTGGCATCTTTTTGAATCAACATCTTGAAATTTACATCTTTGAATTGAATCTTGAATTTTTTACATCTTAAAAGTTTACATCTTAAAGTTACGTCTTAAAAGGTGAGTACCTTTAAGGTTAATTCTCAAAGTTACATCTTATATTAAGGATGTATCCTAAACTTTCAAAAAAATTTAAAAAAGTTTAAAAAAAATTTAAAAAATTTATAAAAACGATACTTATTGCTAAAAATAGAAAAAGATTAACATTAATAATATTTATTAGTGTGACGTATACGTATTATTAAATATTTATTAAGATAGATAACGATATTATTTTTATCAAACCACAAAATGTTTGGTTAATTTTAAAAATATCTTTTTTGATATACTGTACTCAGATGAAAATCCCTTATCCATAAATAAAACATGCTGTGATTCGTATTCATCAAAAATAAGGATTTTTAACCTTGTACAGATCTTGTATGGTTAAAAAAAAAGTTAATGCATTAGATTATTTCCTGTCCAGACCTGTCCAAGCAAATTCAAGAAAATTCAAGCAAAAGACGGAGTTTTCTAGATCCGAATAATTTACTCTTTATTTTTTTTTTTAAAAAAAAAAGAGTTTAAACGCTGATGTTAATAATCGGTTAGAGATGGTCTTAGATTGGTCTTTATCATACTGTCATAATAGAAATAATTGTTAATTAAATGAATAGCTCTTGATTATCAATTGTTCAAATATTTATTCATTTGATTATCGTCAATAACATGTGATAAAAATAATATACCATCTATACTTGGTTATATAGTTATACGTATTCTTCAAAAGATAAGCATTTAATGCACAAGCAAAGCAACTAGGGTTTAATTAATTTAACTTGATTTACACGTTAGTCGTTTGAATTCAAAATCCCGATCAAATTTGTCGATAAATTTTGTCGATAAATTTTGATAATTTCGTCGATAATTTCGTAAGTGATTATAATTAATTTTTTAGTTATATTACTATAAAAGTTTTTGTTTAAAAATTAATAATGATTGTTTTAGGCATATATATTTGCCGAAAATATTTTGACAATTCAATAATACCGAAATACTTTCGGCTACAATAGTTTGTACGTCATAGGTAGCTGGACTTTCATTGATTTAGGCTCATGTCATATTACGATATCTCATGTCATACTTATAACGTCAATTAATAAAAGTTTATGGTAATTAACTTCAAACACTGACGTTTTGATCACAAAGACAGCAGATACATGATTCATAAAAAAGCCATATTGCACAATTACTATACGAGCGCTATTTTGATTGTTATAATCAACTCTTTATTTCAGAACGTTATTTTCATACTGCAATTCTTTATAATTCTTTATAATTCTTTATAATTCTTTATAATAGAATACTAATGAACACTAGCTCGTTGATAGAGTTCCAATCCCGGTTAGCGTTTATCTGGATATCCGGATCTGAATTTATTCGAATATTCGATATCCGGATAATTATCTGAATATCTGTCAGATTATCCGATATCAATAGTAAACGGATATCTAAACGGAACTCTACTCGTTGATTTTCTAGGGAACCAAAAATTTTAAAGTAAAAATTTGCAAAAACTGGATAATGGATACGTAGTCATTTGAGAATTACTAAAAAAAGTACAGCTCTTTTCAAAAAAGGTGTCATTGAGGAATTCATGATATTTTCCAGATTTAGATTTCCGGAGTTTTAAGACCCGCTCTAATCGGCTAATCTAAATTTCCAAATTCTTCGATTCCCACATACGTACACAGTATAGTTGTTAGACGAAACCATGTGATGATAATCATCACCTGTCATAAACTACCAAGACCTAAAAATTTAATCTAGTTTTTATTAATAAATATTGATATGTGACATTTAGCATCACATGGTTTCGTCTAACAACTATACCGTACACACATTTTTGAAAACGTATAAAACTTCGGTACCTACAGAAATCATAACCCAAATATTTACATTAAGAACATATTGGTATCGGTATTGACTCTTTCATAATGCAGCGTATAGGAATGTCCAGAAACTCTGTACGTACATACGTACGTACGGTTTCGGGAATGCTAAGCTTTTTTAAGGAATAAATTTAAAGATTTATTTGACAAAATAAGAAGTGCACCCCGAGAATTTAATTGACAATAATATATTATCGATATATATACAATATGAAACTTTTTTTTTTTTTTTCATATTATGTTAACTCTTTCTCTTCTTTTTTTGATACGTATATCAAATTAACAGACTTACCTTTTGAATCACAACATATATATTCCTTTTCTCTTTAAAGATAATCTACTTAAAAATCTTATCAAATTACGATTTATCGTGTAACTTTATATAAATTTATATTTATGTGTGCAAATGAAAATTCTTACGTATACGTACTATACCACTTTTGTAAATAAAGAAACAATTTGCAACAACTAAATGGCGTATTTTAAACATAACATCTAACGTCCTTTGATAACACACGTAAATATTAATAAAGTAATTGGTAATTTGTGAAATGATCATGTAATATGATTTCTTTTGTTACAATATCAGTATACAGATGTATACCCACAGATACACTCTAGATTTCGTAATCACGAAAAGAATTATCTACAATATGAAGTTTTTTATCATAGCAATTTTTAATCCATTTATATACAATCTCTTTATCATTAACATAAAATAATGATTTAATCCACACCAATGATGCTGTCTTTTCGAATCTTTCTGTGTCGAAATCTGAATAAATTAAATTGACATTGATCTAAAGGTACGTCATGAACGAGTTCAGCCTAATAATATTCAAGGAAATATTTAGTTTTTATATTTAAATTAATTGTTTAAATATAGTTAAATGAAACACTTACCGATGGAATAATCACAGTTTCTTGACTGTTTGTCGTATTGACTACGTCAATAAACTCTTTGGAGTCTACATCCATGTTATCTGATGATGCTTTAATTTGCATTATCTGTCTATCTTGATTATATCTTGAACTAAAACTAGGCTGACTCAATTCGAAATTTGAGAATTCTTGAAAAAAAAAGTTATACAACTAGTTAATTACTACATGTATAATACTAAAATATAGTTTTTAAATATATATATTTTTTTAAATATATATATTTTTTAAATATATATGTTTTAAAAATGGTTACCTATTTTACGACCAAGAAACTTTGCTCGAGATTCAACACGTATTCGAACAATTTTACGCTTAACAAAAAAATTTTCGGGAACTCTCGATGCATCGTGAGCATCAGAGGACTGAGAATCAGAGAAATATTCATCAGAGGAATGAGTGTCAAAGGATTGAGATGGTGAATAATGATTGAAACTAATTGATTCTGAAAAATTTTGAAATCTTTCTTGATCACTATCGTTATAAAAAATGAATCTTTAGAATAAGCATTTCAGCATAAAATCTTCAATATAAAGTCTTTAATTTTCAGAATAAAATGAAATACGTACATGTCGAATTTCTCTTCATATTCAAAAGATACGTCAATTAAGATCCAAACCATAAATATTAGAATGATGATAATCTCGTACCATCCAATTTTCGAAATGGTCAGGTTGAATGTTGTTTGAAAATGAAAACCACTATATCGCGTTATAACTACAGAAATGTAACCTCCAGTATAAAAAAATAAACAAGAAATCAATTTTATTATCAAGTGTCGATCGAAAATATAATTTTCATCGAAACCGGAAATAATAAAAGTTAAAAGAAATAAAATTCCAAGTATGAAATTTATGACTAATAATTGTGTGTTACTATCAGAAGCGATATAAGCTTTAACAACAAAGTTTGAAATCCATACTACAAGCATTGATAATACACTATTAACAAGTAAAATAAAGTTCTTGGTGAATATCTTTAACATTTTCTCAGTTTTTGTTTTTCTCAAAGTTTTTTGTTTTTGAACAAAGTTTTTTTTTCCTCAAGTTTTTCCAATTAAATTGAAATTATTACGTACATCTATATTTATAAATGCGTTAACTAACCTAAACATATTATATTTATTACTGATGATACGCGTCATAATGAGATATAACAAATGATCTATCATTATCTGTTTATCATGCGAGAAAAAAAAAATCGAGAAAATTTTTAACAAATCATATATAGCTGTATAGTGTAAATAAATAATTTTTGATTGTTTGTTATGTTGATTCTGACGTTTAATCTCAGATTATGTCAGGAAATTATGTAAAGTTATAATATCGGATAATATTTTAATATAAAAAAATACCGATATCAGATATGTTTTGTATATGTGTAAAAATACATGCAACTATTTAGCTTGTTCCTATTTAATTCTTTTTAACCACTGATACTGCACAGTATCTACTTACGTACGTATATCTTATATGTACATATCTGATATCAGATATCAAGTATTATGTACGTACGTACGTATGTACATACATACCAGATACTCGATACTAAATACTTAATATGTACCGTACGTGAGTACGTACGTAGCATTGAAAAATTCTAACTGCTACATAATAATTGATAATAGCATTATCAATATTGGATGACATTAAGGATGTTTTTTTTTCTTTAATAATTCCCAATACAGCAATATGGATAATTTTTATGTTTTCCCGGTGCTGGATCAATTTCAATTACAGTATTTTATCAAAAACGATCGTGTAAGTATTATTGGACTTCTGCCTTATGATCAAATTTGTTAAACTTTAAACTTTTTGTGCATGAAACTTATTGTTACACTATCAATATTCATATTAGTATCTCCGAAATAATATTGTAGTACCATTACGCCCTTTTCCAATTTCAATACGCCGTGATACTTACAAAGTTAAAATGATTAAATTATCATATAAATAAGCATCGGTAATTCGCGCGAATACGATAAATACTCTCTTCTTTTTTTTTTCTAATAAAAAAAAAAAAAGAAGAAATCATATATCATCTGTTCCTTCTTAATAAATCGAAAAAGTTTGTAAACGATTAAAAACATGATTTCTTTAACGCGCTCCAAACTTGGAGGAGCTATATTCCTTATTATTGGAATATTAGCATTATGTCATTTGGTTACAGCTCGGCTATTTGATCAACCAGAAATCTTTATTGATAATTTTAAATGGTCAAACGATGATTTTTCTGAAATAACTGAACATATTTTCGATAACTTGGATCAAGTTAAAACTAAATATGATAATAAATGGGCAAAAGTTTTAACTCATAATGCTTTTCCTGATTATAAAATTAAATTGAAAGAACCTCAAATGTGTGATCCCACCGTTCAACAGGTTTGATGATTTTACTATAAATGATTTTTTATTTTTTTTTTAAACTTGATGAAAAAAAAAAAACTCAATAAAATATTTGAACGCTAGTATTCTGGATATCTTGATGCTGGTAACAAGAAGCACTTCTTCTTTTGGTTCTTTGAATCAAGAGGCAATCCTTTGAACGATCCGATTGTTCTTTGGGTATGTAAATAGATATAATAACTTATAATACATCATTATTAAATCTTTAAACTTATTTAATATTTCATATTTCTTGGTTTAATAATAGCTTAACGGTGGCCCAGGGTATGATAATTTTTAAGGATTTATTAAAGATATTACCGTACTGCGCAGACTAAAGTATAATAAAAAAAAAAATGTACATTATGTAAATTGCATATCACATGCATATATGATCTATGCTATTTGTCACACTGGATATTTTAGTCTTCATGGTACGGTAGCTCGATCTATATCATGACGTTAACGTTAATAATAATATATTTAGATGTTCTTCTTTAACTGGTTTATACTTTGAACTTGGTCCTTGCGCTGTTAACGAAGAAGGAACTGATACTATTTTTAATCCTCATTCATGGAATAACAATGCTAGTGTTATTTTCTTGGATCAAGTATGTAAAAAAAAATTTTTAATATTACGCATTTTATATCTTGTATATACTAATATCTCTAATAACTATTTCTTTGTAGCCAATTAATGTCGGATATTCTTATGGAAATGGTGTATCTAATTCTTTGGCTGCTGCTACTGATGTATACGCGTTTTTACAAATCTTTTTCAAAGAATTCCCTCAATATGCCAATTTGGATTTCCATATTGCCGGTGAATCGTACGTATTGTTAATATTTTATTAATAATAATAATATTAATATTATTGTTAATCTTTGTTAATTTTTGTTAATTTTTGTTAATTTTTGTTAATCTTTGCTAATATTATAAATAGGTATGCCGGACATTACATACCCGCCATAGCAGCAGAAATCAATAATAATAACAAAGGAACTTCATCTTGGATTCTCGCTAATCAACCAAAGAATCTTAAACATATCAATCTTGACTCCGTCTTAATTGGAAATGGTCTAGTAGATCCTTTAGTCCAATACAAATATTATGCTGACATGGCCTGTAACTCTTCTTACGGTCCTGTATTACAGGAATCCACATGTCAACAAATGAGAGATGCTTATCCCCAATGTGCTTCAATGATTCAACGATGTTATGATTCATCAAATGCTTTCGCTTGCCTACCTGCTTCCATGTATTGTAATAGAGAAATGATTCAACCTTATCAACAAACTGGTTTAAATGTTTATGATATAAGAAAACCATGTGAAGGTGGTGGTTTATGCTATCCAATTTTAAAAGCTATTGAGAAATTTTCTAATCGTAATGATATTAAGACTGAATTGGGTGTTGATCCTTCGGTTGAATATAAAAGTTGTAACATGGAAATTAATTTCAAATTCCAACTCGCTGGTGATTGGTAAGTAATTCTTTAAATTAAATTTTATGATTTAAAGATGTCTTGAATATATTTAAAGATGTCTTGAATATATTTAAAGATGTCTTAAATATATTTAAAAATATCTTATACTGTATATACTTAAAATATGTTTTATAATAATATATATTTTATAATATATTTTATAATAATATATATTTTATAATATATTTTATAATAATATATATTTTATAATATATTTTATAATAATCTAGGATGCGTCCCTACCACTTACTGATCCCACCGCTCTTGGATAGCAATATCCGAGTGTTGGTATATGCAGGTAATTTTATAAATGACCTAACAAAATTTTTGAATAAATTTTTTGTTTAATTTATCCTATCATAATTAAAATTATTATTATTATTATTATTATTATTATTATTATTATTATTTTTAAAGGTGACGCTGATTTTATTTGCAATTGGTTTGGTAAGAATTTATTATTAAATTTATCTTATATAATTTTATATTACAAATTTTCTAATAAAAACAATTGTATATATCTTTAACCGATCATTACAATCAGGTAACGACGCATGGGTAAAAGAACTCGAATGGAGTGGTAAGAAAGATTTTAACGATGCCAAAGTTACTAGTTGGAAAACATCAGATGGTGAGCAAGCTGGTGAAGTTAGAACCTTTGGAAAATTTACATTCTTGAGAGTTTATGAAGCTGGCCATATGGTACCTTATGATCAGCCACGTGCAAGTTTAGATTTCTTTAATAGATGGTTGTCCAAGGGTGATTTGTAAATGAATGAATGAATGAAGTAGCTGAAGTTTTTTTTAAATACTCATTTTACTCAATTTATTTGATGCTTCAGAGAAATAGATAAAATCTTGTGGGACTTTATAAAGTTTATGGTAGTTTAAGATCTGATCGATCGATCGATCGATCAATAGTTTTTATACAATTTATTTATTATCAAGCATGCTATTCTCAATCAATTTAAGAATATAATAATTTTTTAAACTTGATGTAAAAATTGATGTTCTATATTATAATAAATACATGGTACTGTATTTCTGATATTCAAGTTTTAAAAATACATGTCTCATAAGGAATTGCTCATTGGCCATATACATTAACTTAAGAAAAGTTACCTATTTCTGTCCAAATACTACATGAATATTACAGTAAGTTTTGTATATATTAAATTCTTCTACAAATCTTTCAACACATTCATTATATTGTTCATGAGTTAAACCCCAAGCAGGTCTTACAACTGGGCACATCGCTTTCGCTAACATTACAAAATCGTCAGCCATAATTTTACCAATACGATCTCCCCAAGAACCAACTGGAACCATTTTTGATTTATGTTCAATTTTTTTCAGTATAGTGGATTTATATATTTCTTCTAATTGTGTTGCTATTGTTAAATCAATACTTTTCGTTTTCATTACTGTGATCCCTGGTTGTCAAAAAACGTCTTAGCAATTAAATTAAATTTGCTGGTAATTAAATATCTCGAAAAATTTAAACCAAATAATAAAACTTACATGCTTCACTCATTCTATATGTTACTGGACCTCTATTTAGTGCCGGAATTTCAAATTCCGTACTCTATATCCATAAATATATAAATAAACCTCGGTTATTAAAGCACTAAAAATAAATGTTGTAAGTGGAAACGGAATTTACAGTTTAAGTGGAATTTATATTTTCTAATTAAACTAGGTATAGTTAGAGTGGAATTTATATTTTCTGATTAAACTAGGTATAGTTAGGGTATAGATTTATATATGACCCTGAAATATGTTATAGTTATAAATACTGGGTATCATGGAAATGAAATTTCCGCTTAATGTTAAAACGTTACGTTTTAACGTTAACGTTAACGTTAAAAAACATATAGAACCCTGTTTATAACTGATTTATACCCTGCGATCTTGACATAGTGATCAGGGTATAATTTAACTAAGAATCCATCTAAATTCCGTTCGCACTTATGACGTATAATATATATCTGTATTAAAGTGATAAGGATTTCAACAAACCTCAATATAACCACCAGGTTTAAGTACTCTAATCAATTCTTTCCATATTCTATGTTCCCAATCATGTAATGTGAGCGAAGTTACCATATTTCTTATTACTATAAAATCAAATGATTCATCAGCAAAAGGTAAATCTTCTAAAACATCCGCTTCTTCAAAGTCAACATTTCTTGGTTTAATTTCTTTTGGAAACATTGGATTTATATCAATTCCTATAAAATGTGAATTTGGATAATCATATGCCATTTCTAAGGTAAATGTTCCTGGTCCACATCTATTAAAAATTTGATAATAAAAATTTTTTTTTTATTTTTAAACTCAAACATGACATTAACGATAAATTTTTAAATTTTAAATTTCTTAATTACCCAACATCTAAAACCTTTGCTCCACTCTTTAATTTATTATTAACAGGTGCGCAATAATTAGCTTGTAAAACATATCTTGCTAAATAATGCTGCATTTGTAATCTATCAATTTCTTCATCATCGTTAGGTAATGAATATGATGAATTATCTAAATATCTTCTTCCATCTATATAATAATATGTTGCGTTATTATGACGATATGAATGTTCTATCGTTGAAGATGTTGTCATTTCTGGTATTGATGAATTATTATATTTTTCATCAGAAGGTTTAGATGATTTTCTTTTAAATCTGATCCATGATCTCTTTGTACTTTGCCAGTTACCCATTAATGTTTCTAATGAAAAAAAAAATTGATAATTGAATGAATGATGTATGACTTATGTAACAAGGATGTTATTTATTTAAATTCGTTAAAAAAAAAAAAAAAAAAAAACTGAAAAAAATGAAATGAAAGAGAATTGAAATAGAATAAATAAACTGGATAGAAAGTTATAAAGATCGATAAAGAAAATATTTTAAAGAAAAGGCGTCTATTATGTAATGTTTTCTAAAACGTGTGTAACAAAAAGTCTTTTTTTTTTTTTTTTGTAAAGGAACAATGCACGATGAGATCAAACAATTAAGTATCCCATAAGTCCATGTTAAGGCTTATTGAAAATAGTTTATTGAATTTTTTTTTGCGATACATATGCTATTATTGTTCTTTAGGCGTTAATTAGTGTAATTAGGAACCCAAGATTGAAAGCCTTTATGTTTATTATTCGGAAAGGTTAATATTCCAAATTCCTCATATAGTATTCATTCTAAATAAATTTGGTTTGCTACTCGGCATGATGCGTGTGATCTTTTAAGGTTTTATGATTTGTGCATGTTTAAAGTACTTATAATTCTTACTTTCTTCTATAATAATTTTTTGTCCTTGTTCGTTCAAAATTGGTATAGGTGTATGAACACGTGCAAAACTCTTATATGTGTGTTTATTATTTTGTCTTAATATAGTAATTAGAATTGATTATAAATGGAAAACAAGCTTGTAAAATAAAGTTGACTTACTAGCCATTGTTAAGTATAATTGTTATCTAAATTTGTAAAGATAACAAGTCATGATGATTATTTATTGTCTTTTGTACATTTTTAAAATAATAGTTCGGATTATACGAATACCTTTTTATCTATATTTGGAAATAAAGCCTTTTGATGTAAACTTCTTTATTCGTCCGTTACTTTTTTTCTGCTCGAAATTTCGATTGTAAAAAAAATTCGGATTTTAATTATAATTAGTGAAATTATACATTTTAGTCTAACATTAACTATTTTAATCCATTTTACTGTTTGCCAAATTTAGGATATCTAAAGCAATTCTTTGCACAATATTACACAAAGCTTATGTATTTTCACGTGATAATTAGCCAATCAAATCATGAGTTACTTCAAAAAGAATAAGAATAACAAAATCAAAGCAATATTGCAGAATTGCGTTATTTAAAGTTTAAAACAAATACTTGTTATCGTGCAAATATTTATGATCATGGCTTTTTTTTTTTTTTTTTTGCATTGTTGATTTTTTTTTTTTTTGCATATTACGTACGTATAACATAATGACACTTATAGTATATTCGGGTTAGAATTTCTTTAAATTTTCAAATATCTAGCTAGAAAACTTATATTCGGTTCAGAATCCAAATATTGGGCTTATAAACTTTAAACTCCACATCGTGAATTAGGAAATATAAATTTTAACCAGAATTTTTAAAAGTTTAAATATTGGTTGGATAATTTAAATTTTTGCGGGAATTTTTTTTAAATTCTAATGTTTTGGTTAATAAACACAAATATTTATATCAGAATTTAATGCATTAGATTAGGTAACTTATATTTAAATAAAAAAAGTAGTTAAATTACTCAAAATATCGCCAATGCACGTTCCGAAATAACGCGCACTATTTCAATGTAACTTAATTATATAGCTGCTCTGCTCAATACAAAAGTGCCTGAGCAGAATTTTGTCTCAAATATGATTTTGTTAATAGTTTGAGTTGAAACTCTGTTGCTAATTAGTTATTATTAATATAGCACCCATGCGTTACGAGATTTTGAAAAAAAGATCGTATTCTTGCTAAAAATAAGCGCACTTCAAAATAACTAAAATAAAGTATGGGCGTTGTTACGCGCAAATACGGTATATTTAATAAAGATCAAATTAACTTAATTCTAAGAATACATAGGCTAAATTTATAATAATAAAAAAAAACTAATAATAAAATTAAAGATTAATTCTAATAAAAAAGTAGGGCTCCGAGGTTCGGGCCGAATCAGAGTCCGAACCGAACCTGAATTCGAACTATAGATTGTCAAAAATTTCGGACCCGAACTCGAACCCCAATTTACTGATCCCGAACCAGACTCGATCATGATCTTTGAGTTTGATTCGAGTTCGGTTAGAAGTTCACGAACATTTCGGGTTCGGGATATTACATATGTCATAAAAATTCGTTTGATTAGCTATAGCAAAAATTGCCCGAAAGTGCTACTAGAGTGCCTCAATTCTTGATGACATGATTAGGTGTTTAAAGGATGTTATAATAGAGTATGTTATATCATATTGTATTACTATATACTAACATTAATTATAGTTAATTCTTAAAATTTTATCGACTTCATATCAGATATTATAATCTATACCGTATAAACGCGAAATAACGCCCTGAATTAACGCGCATCTTAATGTAGCACATAATTTATTGTTGCGATAAATGAGACACATGCGCTTCCCTATAATGATAAGTGCACATAATTTGATCGGTCATTTAATACGTATTGTCGTTATATATAAATTATGCTCCATAAATGGATATACTATAAATGCGTTTTTACTCAACAACGTGCATTTATAACTGTATTGGATTTAGAAAATCTTCTAAATAATGCACATGCTAGCTTGCATTGGAATTAACATAATATATTCGTGAGTTACTGAAAAAAATATTCTGTTACAGGACTAACTATTCTGGTTAAATGATTTATATTAGAGTTATTATAATTTTTATCGTGTTATAAGTCTGTTACAGAATTTACTTGCTGTTTCATTAATCATAATACACAGTTAAGTTGGGTTAGTTTGTCATAATTTCTATGGTGAGACAGAACTTGCTCGTTATTCCAGTGGCCGCAATATGTGGTTAGTTTGCAATAGAACTGCCGTGAATTCTATCGTGAGTTACTTTAAATAATTTCATTATAGAAGTTACTTGCTATTTCAGTTGCTTGACTACAATAATGGTTAAGATGAGTTTGTTTGCATTAGAATTAACATGATTTATTCATGAGTTACTGAAAGAATTCTGTTACAGGATTTACTCGCTATTCTGATTAAGACGAGTCTACATTAGGATTATCATGATTCCTACCGTGACACGGGTTGGATCAATGAATATAGGGTGCATACCAGGAGATAAGTTTCCCGATATGTATCCATTAGTCTGCCATAGATCCGCCAAAAACCTGCTGAATATCAGCAGCATATTGGCAGCACATTGGTAAGATATCGGGATGTAGATGAATATCGATAACATAATAGGCCCAGAGTGCTAAGAATAAGATATCGGGATACCCCAATATTGTACTGTTATATTACCGATATTGATCTACATCCCGATATCTTACCAATGTGCTGCCAATATGCTGCTGATATTCAGCAGGTAGTTGGCGGATCTATGGAAGACTAACAAGTACATATTGGGAAATTTGTCTCCTGGTATGCACCTGATATCCATTGATCCAACCTGTGTAAGTTGATGTAAACAAGATCCTGTTACAGAACTTACTCTATTCTAATGACCACAATATACAGTTAAGTTTGAGTTAGTTTCCATTAAAATTGCCATGACTCCTATCGTGAATTACTGCAAATAATTCTATTATAGAACTTGCTCGCTATTCCGATAACTGCAATATGTGGTTAAGATAAATTGAGTTACTGTAAATAATTGTTTTAAAACTCACTCACTATTCCGGTAACTATGATATTTGGTTGAGATAAATTAATTTGCATTAGAATTGCCATAATTTCTATCATGAGCTACTTAAAATTGCATTACAGTATTTACTCATTATTCTAATATGTGGTTAAAATGAGGTAGTTTGCATTGGAATAATTATATTTCCATTGCGAGTTACTATAAAAAAATCTGTTACGGTGACCATAAAGTGTGTCTATGCTTGCTAATTTTTGATGACAAATGAATGCATTCCTTTTCATCCTTTTCAACTCCAATTTCAATTCGATAATGGCATCCAACCAGAAGTGTTTTACTAGCGTGCCCCATCTCTGTTGATTGCTGACTACAAACTAATGTCTTATGTTTATCTCCTTCAACTCCATTGTAAGTACTTTGTCCAACATTATATATTCCACAGGCATTCCCATCTTTGTAAATTTTTGATAATAAACTAATTAATGCCTTAAGTTCATTCTTCTCGGCTCCATTGCAAAGCATTGTCCAACATTAGGCCACTCTTTGTTTAACATAAAGAAAGTATTTCGTAAAAGAGGCATTAAACAACACCAAAATACAAAAACACGGTAATTCTATTGGTTATAAAATATATAAAAATTGCTGTAAAAAATATAAAAGTTTAAAAAGCTAATACTGTAATTTGATTGGTTAATCTGGTGTTGATTTTTTATGTAAAATTTTAAAAAATAGGTTATGTTAAACATAGAATTAACTTGGAGTGGCCTTATGTTCTATATATATTTCCCGTCTCTACTGATTTTGATAATAAATTAACGTCTTGTTCTTGCAAGTCACATCTGCTTAAAGTTTTTACTGGGAAGTTAATGGGTGTTCTTGTAAAGTAAATCTGCAAACGTTTTTTCTCTTTCCGATTCAAGTTACTACCGAAAAAATTTAGAATGCATTCTTGACAAGTGCATCTGTTAATTATTTTTCTCTTTCTGATCCAAGGAATTACTGAGTAGTTCAAAGAAGTCAGTGTGGTGTTCTTGCAAATCTAAATTTTTACATTAAAAAGAATTAAAAAAATAAACCCTACCGTACAAGCGCGAAATAACATGCAGGGGCGTTAATTTGAAATTTGGCCCGAATTAAGCTTAATTTAGGCCAAATTTTGAAATTAAACCCCTGCACGTTATTTTGCGCTTGTACAGTATAAGAAAAATGTAATGTAGTTGTACGGGTTGGCACGGGTTTCGGTGGCACGGATCAAGCCCGGATCTTGTACATAAGAGGCTCGAATTGGTACGGATTTTTGGCTCATGTTGAACCGTATGCCAGTGCCAATTGGACCGTTAATGACTCGGGCT